ATGAAGTTGTTACAACAAGCAAACGGAAAGGACATTCTTGGGGGGGAGGGGAGAGAGGGAGGAGGGAGGGAGGTGTCGGTCATGGGCCATAATAATCATATACAGTGTATATTGACAAAATATAAATTTAACGAAAAAAAAAAAAAAGAAAAAAAGAAATGGTCAGAGACATAATATAGCCTGGAAAATGTCCTACAGGTGGGGCATAAGGGATATGTCCTACAGGTGGGGTATAAGGGATATAAGGAAAAAATAAGGCTATGGAGGTTGATAAAGACTGGGTTATAGTCTAAAAACTTCCGTCTCTAAAAAGTTATTTTTGAATGTCAAAAACTGTAGAGATACCTATGTGAATAATTATTCTTTGGTATCTATTGATTAAAAAATACGAGAAAGGTTACGATGAAGTCACTAGTCACTTTAAATAAATTTTTATTTTATTCTTCAGAATAGAATCTGACTTTTTTTTCAAAGCAGTGAGATTTTGTAGATATTATTTTTTCAAAATACAAAGGTTAGTAAACACATAATGAACATTCATGGCTTTCCCACACATTGAGAACTACTGCTATAGTAATAGTAGCAGTAGTAGCAACAACACTTACTGAATACTTGCTAAGTCCTTGTTCTAAGCACTGTACATGTATTAACTCATTTAATTTACACAACAATGACATAGACTTTATTATTATCTCCATTGGTGGCAGAATTTTTTTCCCCTTCAAATACCTTTTCTTCCCTTTTCCTTTACTAAGAGACTCTAGTTTTCAATTGAGGAAATCACTGTCCTGCTGAAAGGCTGTATTTCCTTGCCTCCTTGGTCTTTGGGGTGACCACGTGACTAAATTCAGGTCAATGAGAAGTGAGTTAAAATGTGTATTTGAAGAAGTGTCCTTAAAGGTTGTGGGGAGGAGATGCCCTTCTTCCTTCCTACTTCCTGGATCTAGAATGTTATAGCAACATGGAAGAGCCTGGAGAAAATTATGTTAAGTGAAATAAGCCAGACACAGAAATACCCCATGTCCTCACTCACAACTCGGAAGGAAGGAAGGGGGGGGCGGGTAGGAGGGAGGGAGGGAGGGAAGGAGGAAGCAAGGAAGGAAGGACCACAATAATAAGTTGAACTTTCAAAAGGAGAGAACAAACCTAAGGATACTAGAGATGGGGGGAGGAAGGAGGGAGGGGGTTGGGGAGTGATTGGTTGGGTACGGGGCATAAAGAATAATTGTAATTTGTAATGATGAATATGCTAATAAAATGCATATATTATCACTAATAAAAAAGAATGTCATTCATGGCTGGCATGACTGAGCAATGAACTGAAAGGAGACTGTTATGGCTTGCTTCTGGATTTATTTTATGTGAGGGAGAAGAAAATTCTATGTTGTTTAAGTTACTTTTATTTATTTTTCCTTTTATATGGAGGCAAACTTAATCCTAACTGATATGCCATTCTGGAAATGAGAAAACTGAGGTATTGAGGTTAAGTACTTTGCCTGATGTTACAAAATTAATAAGAGGCAGAGATGACTTTTAGTTCACACATTCTTACTTCAGAGCCTTTCTTACTCTTACAGTATATTGTCTCTTCCTATATAACTGTAGGAAATGGGTTTGACATAGGGAAGTAACTTAAATGTGTGTTCTGTTGACCAGTAGTGGATGTGAGCTCTCATGGGAAGGGGGCATTCCCTCACCAGGTTGCCCTCTTTAGATGAGGCAATTCTGAAGGCAGCGTATCGATCATTGAGGATTGTCTGCTGGCAGCACTCCCAGAAGCTAGGGTAATAAGTCCTTTACAGAATAATTTTCAACTGCTGGATGAGCAGAGCAAGGCTAGTATGAGTTGAGAAAAGGAAAGATGGGAAGGCTTATTATAATTAATGATTTCCCACTTTCACCTTTGTTTCTTTTGCCAAAATCTGCTTATCATCTGAGAGTAGAGGGGATTTCTTAGATTGTATGAAGCCAGAGCAAAGGGCTCAAGTTTGATGTAAACTAAATATTAATAATTCTGGTGTTGTTTTTCTGTACAGTATTTATGAGAAATCATTGCTTTTTGAAGGTGCAATAATTCTTCCAGGCTACTCTAGGATCTTTAGGCAAGCAACCTTATTTTTGAAATGGACAGGAAGCATAGAATAATTATTCAGATGGGAAGTCTTCTTGCCTCAAAATGATACCACTCTATTTGAATGAAAATACCTAAGTTTTTGTGTTCTTGAGGTTTTATGCTCATGAAAATTCTTGAAGCTGAGGTCTGAAAAATAAAGCAACTCCATGGTCTCCTCAGATAGGTTAGAGCCAGTAACTACAATTTTTTAATGCATGGACAAAGGAAATATGTACAGAAAACAAAAGAGGCAGGGGCTTTGTCTGCATCACTGAAATTAATGCTGAACATATAGCAACAGTTAGCCTACTGTAATGCAAAGAGCCATAGTGTTAGAGTCCAATGATCTGGATTCAAGGCCAACTCTATTTCAAAGTCCCATATTCAAAGATATAGGACTTTTAGAAAATTCTGAACATCTTTGTGTCTTGGATTCCTCACCTGTAAAACTGTGGTGTTGAGGGGATAATATGAGACTAGGCGTGCAAAACAATTTGTAAGAGAGCTATTATTTCTAACAGAATGTGTTCGCCGTCAGTAACAGTACATAGTTACCATTCATTGAGGGCATCTTCTGGACTTTCCGTTTGGAAGCCCAGTCCTAAAGCTTAGTTTCTCCTGCTTTTCTGTTATGTTTGGGGCATCGCTATTTTATAGTCTGGGGGGGGGGTTGTTTCCACATCGTTAGCACAAACGAGAAAATCCCCTCCTACTGAAGCAAGTACAAAACCTTTCTTGTCGCCCCTTTCTGGCCGCAGCTCACCTACTGTTTTCCCTTTCTCGCAGTCGCAGCCCCAGACGTCCTCCAAGGCAAAAACCCTCGAGAGGGCCAGGGTACGCCAGGAACTCCCTAGACCTTGGATCTAGGAGATCGAGTAGGTAACAACAGAAGGGACTCCCACCCAGGCACAAGAAATATCTCACTCCATCAAAACTAGCACAGCAACCTAGCAAACAGAGAAAACCCTCGCGAGACAAGACTGCAATGAAGCGAAAGGAAGCCCGCTTTCTCGCGAGAAAAGGGATGGCGGAAACTAGGAAGTGGCTCCTTCAGCACCCGACCCCAGCAAGTGGGCGGGGCCATGGTAAATCCGCCCCCTTCCGGCTCCTTTCCCCGCCTCCCAACCCTGAGGTGTTGGGCCGGGGGTGCGGGCTACTGTATTCTCCCACTTCCCTTCGGTGGGTGCAGGGTCCTGCTCAAAACCTCCGGAACGCGTTTTGGCCTGATTTGAGGAGGGGGGGCGGGGAGGAACCTGCTGCTTGCGGCCCCGCCCCCTTCTCCGGCTAGTCCGAGAGTGGATAAGCCCGCCTCCTCCTTCGGCCGGCCGTGGGGCCGCGTCCCCGGGCAACTCGGCAACCGAGGCCTCGGCTTCTGACTGCAGGTATCGGCGGCGAGACCCCAGGGTACAGCCCTGTTCGGCCCCATGGTGGGTTTCGGGGCCAACCGGCGGGGTGGCCGCCTGCCCTCCCTCGTGCTGGTGGTGCTGCTGGTGGTGATCGTCGTCCTCGCCTTCAACTACTGGAGCATCTCCTCCCGCCACGTCCTGCTTCAGGAGGAGGTGGCCGAGCTGCAAGGCCAGGTTCAGCGCACTGAGGTAGCCCGCGGCCGTCTGGAGAAACGCAATTCGGATCTCCTGCTCTTGGTGGACACGCATAAGAAACAGATCGACCAGAAGGAGGCTGACTACGGCCGCCTCAGCAGCCGACTGCAGGCCAGGGAGGGCCTGGGGAAGAGATGCGAGGATGACAAGGTAAGGATTAGCCCTTTCCCTTCAATCCCCACAGTTTCTTTCATCTCCGGGGTGGGAGTGTTAGCCTGCCAGCGGTTGTCTTATCTCTTCCAGGACTGGAGGCTCCTATTAGTCTCAATAATCATGTTTTTGTCAGACTTTTCCTGGTTTGTCATTGCCACCGTTCCCCAGTCCCTGCCACATAAAACTGGCTGTAAGTTCTGGTTCTCAAGAGTGGCCTGTGTGTGGATGCCGCCTTTTCTCCAAGCTCAACTGCTGAGCTGGCAGTAGTAACCATCTGGCCTATGTGGCCGCCTTACGTTCACAGACAAACAAACCTAGAGAGTGCCACGTTTGGTGTGGGTATTGTCTCATTCTTATTCCTTGCACACTGATCAATGTTAATTTATTTATTTTAAGAATGGAGCCTTCTCTAATTCCTTTACTTATGGTTATCACAATGTATTTTTTAAGCAGTATTCGTTAGTCTCTATAGGGCAATGTAACTAAAGAATCAGATATTACTTCCTTTTTGTGATCAAAATGTTATGATAAAGGGCCTTGGTATCATGTATGAGCCACACTTGTGACTTGGACATAGTTAATCCATAATTATCTACTCAATTTGAATTGTTAATGAAATTAGCCAAAAAGGTAAAATCTAAAAATAAGTTCTAAGCAACAGAATCTCATATCAGTGTCCTCATTGTTTTTAGAAGAAAGGAAAAGGAAATTTTGTGTGCTTAAGTAGCTGTTGGGGTTGGTGTTTTATGCAGATGAAAAGCCATACAAAGTTTTAAATTTAAGTTTAAAACTGGACTGTAACCATGCCTGCTACTAAATAGTCTTTGTTTTTACCAGTATGTTGGTTGACTAATGCAACATCTGTTTGTATAGTAGAGTTGTGAACATTTCTGGGTGGAATAGTAGATGCCTTTCTTTCTGGACACTTCTTAGGTAACCTTCCCATTTTGTGTGTGTGTAAAGTTTTTACTTTGTGTATCAAAATCACTTTAAATTAAAATCTCCATGAGCTCTCAACTTCCTTATTGTCCTCAGCCTCTATCTTGCTTATTTCTTATAGATTGAGGCCCTCAGATAAGTGCTTCATCTAACCCCCTCTTCTTTACTACAACATAGAAATTCTCTGTGAGGGGCAAGGGATCAGTAAATTTATGCATACACTGCACACTGAACTCTAAAGACTGATAAACTTCCTTGGGTGGAGTAGGCAGAAATCCATGAAATACTGAAATATTAAAATGAGGTCTTCATATGTGGAACGGTTAAACATTACTGTTTAAATTCTCTCCAATCTCAAAGGAAAGATAGTCTTTTCTAGTAATTCATATTCTGGATTCCATTTCTTCCATCCATTGGACTGTTACTATCGGTGTCTTTCAGCACACTTTTTTTTTTGTTTTTTACATTCAACCAGATGTAGGTGTCCCTTGTTCTAACTTTTTAAAAATTTTTCTTCATATTCCCTTCTTACAATCAACCAATTTCCTTTTTTACTTTGACTGTTAAACTCAAATTATTGGTGATCTATAAATGTTCCATCTAATTTTTCTCTTTTCATCCCCATCCTAATCTTAAATTCTGTTTGCCATCTTTCTTTCCTCTCCTTTTCGAAAACTATTTTCTTTTTTCTTTTTTTTTTTTTTTTTGTCTTTTTCCGTGTCCGGCAACGGATCGCAACCCTCAGTGTTGCCCCCGTACGGGACCGGGGGCCGGCAACGGGATTGCAACCCTCGGTGTTGCTCCCGCGCCTCGCTCAGCCAGTGAGCGGGAACCGGTCTGTATGTGGGATCCGAACCCTCGGGCGGGAGTGCTGCCGCGCTTCCCAAGTGGCGCACTATCCAGTGCGCCACCGGGCCGGCCCCGAAAACTATTTTCTTGAAGGTCACAAGTGGCAGTCTTCCTAGTCAAATCCAAATACAAATTTTATTCTCAATCTATTTTATCTCTCAGTAGTTTGGTCTTGATTGTCTTAGGCTTTCTGGAAACTATCTCCTTTTCTGTTTCTGTAATATTAGACTCTCCAGATTTTCTTCCTACTTCTTTGCTAAAATGTTTGCTGGATTTTTTTTTTCTCCAACCACCTAATAATGGTCTCTAATTTGGGGCCTTTGCTTTCCCCTCAGTGCAGTATTTCCCAAAGTGCTATTAAGCAGGATACTGCTCTTGGAATTGTTCATAGGTAATCAGGAAAAAAAAAAAAAGGAAAACCTTTTTGAGGTGTATTAATCCGTTTTTGTGTTGCTATAAAAGAATACCTGAAACTGGGTAATTTATGAAGAAAAGAGGTTTATTTAGCTTAAAATTCTGGGACAGCTGCATCTGGCACAGGCCTCAGGCTGCTTCTACTCATGGCGGAAAGGAGCAGGCAGCTGGCAAATACAAGCAGATCATATGGCGAGAGGAAGCAAGAGAGAGAGAAAGGAGTTATCAGGGTCTTTTAAACAACCAGCTCTTGTGGGAACTAATAAGTGAGAACTCACTCACCACCTGCCTCCCAGGGAGAGCATTAATCCATCATGAGGGATCTGACCCCATGATTCAAACAGCTCCCAACACTGCCACATTGGGGATCAGATTTCCACATGAGTTTTGGGGGCACTACACATCCAAACTCTGTCATTCCACCCATGGCCCCCCAGAACTCATGTCACTCTCACATACAAAATACAATCATTCCATCCCAAAGTTTTAGCTTGTTCCAGCACCAACTTAAAGGTCCAAAGTCTTATCTGAGACCAAAAGCAAAACTCCTTTCACCTGTGAACCTGTAAAAATCAAAACAAATTTATCTACTTCCAGGACACAATGGCGGAACAGACATTGGGTACACATTTCCATTCCAAAAGGGAGGAATAGGCCAGATGACAGGATAAACAGGCCTCAAACAAGTCTGAAACCCAGCAGGGCAGACATTAAATCTTAAAGCTCCAAAATAATTTTTGACTCCAAATCTTGCATCCTGGGCACAATGGAGCATCTGGGCCCCCAAAGCCTCAGACAGCCCTGCCCCCACATCTCTGCAATGCATGCCCACTGGGCTGCACTGGTACCCACAGCTTTTCCAGGGTTGCACATTGCTAGTGGCCCTACAGTTCTGGGGTCCTGGCAGCAGCCCCACTGGATTGTTTTTACTGGACGTTTCCCTGGTGGGGGCTCTCTGTGGGGGCTATCTGGGGGCTCCAACCCCACTTTTCTGCTCCGCATTGCTGTAGTAGATGGCCTCTGCTGTGGCTCTGCTCCTGTAGCAGATCTCTGCCAGGGCCCTCCAGCTTTTCCATACATCCTCTGAAATCTGGGTGGAGGCTGTCATGCCTCCACTGCTCTCATGTTCTGCTGGGCTGTAGACTTAACACGATGTGGACACCACCAAGGTTTCTGGCTTGTGCTCTCCAGAGCTGCTGCACAAACCACATTTGGGGCTGCTTGAGGCAGGGCTGCTCCAGCCAGAGCAGCTGGGATGCAGGGAGCAGGTTCTTGAGGGCAGCTGTGCCCCAGGTCTGTCCTCCAGAACAACTCAGTCTTTCTAGGCCTTTAGGTCTGTGATAGGAGGGGCACCCTTCCAGACTTCTGAAACGCTCTCAGGGCCTTTCTCCCGTTGTCTTGGCTATTAGTATCTAGATGCCTCATCACTAAGCCAATGTCTTTAGCAACCAGTCTATCTACTGCACCCTTGGATTTTCTCCTGAGGGCTCTCTCATTCTCTACCACATGGCCAGGCTACAAATTTTCCAAATCTTTACAGTCTGCTTCCCTTTTAAATTCTGGCTTTATGCCACTATGTAACAGCATAGGCTGTTACAAGAAGCCATGCAACTTCCTTGATGCTTTGCTGCTTAGAAATTTCTGCCATTAAATATTCTGGTTCATAACTCTTAAGTTCTAACTTCTACAACGTCCTAGAGGATGGACACAATGGACACTGTGTTCACCAAGTCTCCCTATCAGGAATTCACTGACCATCTTGTACAGACTCACGCCAGAGTCTCCGTGCAGAGGACCCAGGCTCTATCCGTGGCTACAACATAGGGTTTTTATACAAGAAAAATAAAGTTAATTAAGCCCGTTTAAAAAAAAAAAAAGAACCCTGTTTACTTTCGTTTAACCCACTCTCTCAGTTTATTAGATCACAAGTTACTGTTTTCATGGTCTACCTGTTATCATTGTACAAAAGAATGTAGCAAAGCACACTAGTTTGGGAAGTGTTGCCCTAGGTATCTTAACTAGCGTTTGGCTAATGTTCTATGCAGCTGGCTCACAAATCTCTCTCACTTGTATGCCAGTTCCATAGTTTGAGCTAGCTATAACATATTTGTTGGGGTGCTTGTGAATGTCTGTTCTTGTAGTTAATGAAGAAACTCTGAGTTGCCTGACAGAAAGGGTAGTCTTGATTTTTTTTTTTTTTTTTTTTTTTTTTTTAAGTAAACCTTTTAGAATAGCTTTAGATCTAGAATATCATTATGAAGATACTGCAGGGAGTTCCTATATAGCCCACACCCAGTTTCCCTATTCTTCACATCTTATATTAGTATTGTGCATTTATCACCATTTGAACCAGTACTGATATATTATTAACTAAAGTCCATACATCATTCGCTTTTTTCCTAATGTCCTTTTTCTGTTCTAGGATTCCATCCAGAGTACCACATTACATTTAATCATCATGTCTCCTTAAGCTCCTTTTGGTTGTGACAGTTTTTTAGACTTTTTCTTGTTTTTGATGACCTTGACAGTTTGAGGATTACTGATCTGGTTGTAGAATGTCCCTCAATTGGGAATTGTCTGATTCTTTCCTCAGGATTAGATTGGAGTTATGGTTTTTGAAAGAAAGACCAGAGGTAAAGTGCCAATCTCATCACCTCATATCCAGAGTACATCTTTCAGAATGACTTACCACTACTGATGTTAACCTTGATCACCTGGCTTAAGTTAGTGCTTGTCAGGTTTCTCCACTGTGAAGTTACTCTTTTTTCCCCCTTTTTATATTGTACACTTTGTAA